CTGAACTCTGGGATCGTATATTCACTTGCTAGTTGGACATCCCCATGTATGATACCTCAGATGTTTCCAATATGATGTGTCTAAGTCTGTGTCATTGTATTTTTAATTTTCTAAATTTTCCTGTGTAGTGCCAGCACCTCACTAGCCGTGATTATGCATCATCTGGAAGTAAAATTCCCCACTCTCTGCACAACAAATTAGTGCCAAACTCTTTTTTGTTTCTCCTTTTCCTTTTTAAGTATTACTTCCCTGTTCTGTATTCTTTTTTTTTTGAGACGGAGTTTCGCTCTCATTACCCAGGCTGGAATGCAATGGCACAATCTCAGCTGACTGCAACCTCTGCCTCCTGGGTTCAAGCAATTCTCCAGCCTCAGCCTCCCAAGTAGCTGGGACTACAGGCGCGCACCACCATACCCAGCCAACTTTTGTATTTTTAGTAGAGATGGGGTTTCACCATGTTGACCAGGATGGTCTCGATCTCTTGACCTTGTGATCCACCTGCCTCGGCCTCCCAGAGTGCTGGGATTACAGGCGTGAGCCACTGCACCCGGCCCCCTGTTCTGTATTCTTAGCGCTCTATGATAGGGTGACTGTGGTCATCTATCACTCTGTTTTCTTCCCCTCTGGCTCTTCCTGAAGTCCTTACCCATTCTCCCTCTAGGCGACTATTAAAATGCATATTTGGTCATGTGACATACTTGTTCTTACAGGTATTTACACACATTACAGTCACAAATGAGTGTAAATATTACACAAATTTGCACATTACGTTGGTGGTTAGGAAAATAGTATTCACCCTAGGGTGGACACAAGCAGTCATTTGGCATGTAGGAAGGAAATGTTCAGATGCTTGTGTACATTATTTTAATTTATAAATAATTTAAAAATAAATTCTGGAGATAGGTCAGATGTTTAAATGCAGAATCACTCCCTAATCAGTTCTTTCAGTGTTGTGTTCTCTGTCAGCACAGCCCAGCATCATTCACCTAGACGTGGTTCTATGTGTAGTTCCATTAATGTGGTGTGTGTTCTTCATGTTACTATGAGTCGGCTTTGGTGTGGCCTCACAGTCATGAGAACACATGGTTCACGTGGATGTTCTAAACATCTTTGGTTTTTCAATGAAGTGCAACCTTATAATACAATATGAAACTTAATTTTCTCCTTTCTTACTGTAGTCAACATTGAACTATGTCTCTACTGATTCATCTCCCGTATTGTTCCAGGTATGTATTTGTAATTTTTGTCATCATACCAGATTACAGCAGAATTTTATTCCTACTTTTATCTTTCACAATAAGGATCATTCTACATCTAAAGGCAAACTTTGTAATCTTATTAACAAAACATTATTGTAGTGGCAGGATATTTCCACTGTGCTTGTTCTTTCTCCATAGAGAGTACAGAGAAGCTACAGTTTATGTAAGATACACATAAGAGACATGCATCTGCAGAAGATTGAACTCTGACATTCCTATTCTTGTGAACCTGGGCCGATGACTTGAGGAGAAATGTGCTGTTGTAGGGGTTGTTGTCCTTTGAGGAGGTAGCTGTGCATTTCACCTGGGAGGAGTGGCAGGATCTGGATGATGCACAGAGGACCCTGTACAGGGATGTGATGCTGGAGACCTACTGCATCCTGGTATCATTGGGTGAGTGAAACTTCCCAGTAACCTCCAGAGGTAACACTTCTATATTCCTAAATATAGGAAGCATTTATAAGGTTTAATGCTATTTAACTGTAAGATTCTATGTGAAGAATGTGCCAACCCTCTCTAACAAAAGACTCAAATTGGCTCCTTCATTATACAGCTTCTGAAACGGAGCTGTTGTCATTCTGAAAAGGACCTTACTTTGCAGTTTTGCTAAGTCCTCCATTATTTCCCATTACCAGGCCATTGCATTACCAAACCTGAGGTGATCTTCAAGTTGGAGCAAGGAGTAGAGCCGTGATTAGAAGAAGAATGGGCAAACCACGGCCTCTCAGGTTAGTCAATGCATACTGGGCAGGGAAGCCAGGAAAGGTCAAGGCCAGTGTTGACTTGTTTTCACCAATTTCTCTCCCAAGTCCTGTACCTGAGGACAGCTGGTTTTTATGCATCAGTTCTGTGAATTATATCATCTCCAAGTAGGGCTGTCATATATATATATCTGAATTTTATTTTGCTGGATACTTTAAAATATTTACTTAAAACTTAATCCCTACCTTGCTCTTCTTAGATATTTTTATTTGCTATTAATTTCTCAATTTTCTTAGTTGTCTTGTTTTCCTCCATTTTCATGGACTGTTTTCTTGCCCAGACATTTATTCATATGTCCATTTATTCTTTCAATATATCTTAACTGAGTAGCTGGTAAGTCTTGGTAATTTTATATTTACATTTGTAACAGCAGTGGTCAAAATAATTTTTTCATAAAGCATACATTTTGATAAGAGAGAAACAAAATAATATATGTTAAGTAGTTGTAAAAGAACCATGTGGAATATTTAACCAACATGAAAAAAGGTATATAATTTAGGAAGGATTGTAAGACAATGCAATATCAGAGGCATTGTTAACTTTGGTATAGCTCCAGTTCAAGTTAACTCTCTTACTTGTGGCACACAGTAGATGAATATAAATATAGATGTAGGAGTGGACATGACAATTGGAGATACAAACTTAAAAATTGGTAAGTCAGAGCTGGTGTTTAGAACCATAATTATAGAGGAGGTCACCTAGGGAGGTGAACCAAAATAAGAGGAATCTAGGAGTGAGCCTTTTGTATAATGACATCAAACATCCTTACAGTGAGGAGGACCCAGCATAGGAGCATGGAAAAGAATAGGCCTGGACTTCAGAAGAGAACCAGGAGATTCTGGGTTCCGAGGTCTATGGAAGCAAAGGTTTCATATTGAAGGGCTCAGATCTCTATTTGGCAGTAGACAATGAGAAGTGTACAAGAGAGTCCATTTTTCTCTGAAACTAGGAAACAGCTGAAACTTGAACCACAAAATAAAGGCCTTCAGAAGCATTGAATTATGAAGCAGGGATGCATGTACCAGAAATTTTGGGGGAGAAGATCAGGACTGTTCATCTTAGAAGGACCTAATAAATGACTTATCAAAGATAGTGGACACTTTCTGAGTTGCAGAACTGAATCCTTAGGACCAGCAGGGAGGGGATGCCCACAGTGATGGAGTGGAGCTTCAGGTACCTATTATAATTCTGAGAAGCAAAAGGAGTCAGGTGAAACTTGAAATTTGCAAGAAGCAGTCTTCATATAATTTGGAGGAGAGATTTTGCATTTGAAAAATGCCCAGATGCTGGCTGGGCGTGGTGGCTCGTGCCTGTAATCCCAGCACTTTGGGAGGCCGAGGCAAGTGAATCACGAGGTCAGGAGTTTGAGACCAGCCTGACCAACACAGTGAAACCCCTTCCATACTAAAAATACAAAAAATTAGCTGGATGTGGTGGCAGATGCCTGTAATTCCAGCTACTCAGGAGGCTGAGGCAGGCGAATCGCTGGAATGTGGGAGGTGGGGGTTGCAGTAAGCCAAGATTGCACCACTGCACTCCAATCTGGGTGACAGTGTGAGACTCTGTCTCAAAAAAAAAAAAAAAAAAAAAAAAGAAAAATGCCCAGATACATATAGCCATTCCCAGGGAAGCATGAAAACTAAGGAAATACCGATGTAAAATCTGGTTCTGAGGACAAGTGGCCATCTTGTGCACCTGCAGGTAGCCGATCCAGGAATACCTTATCATCTTCAAAGGAGGATCAGAAAAATCACACACAAGCTACCTCCCATTGTTACAACAATAAAATGGGGAAAAACAACAGAGAAAACAGTTGGCAGTTGATAAGCACTTAGATGAAAATTGCAGCTAGGTGTAGGTGAATATTTTTTACCAATTTTTTAATGAATTGAAACAAAATTAAAAAACAATAAAAAACATGATTTTACATTAGAAAATCTATTAATGTGATTTCTTATATTAAGTTAAGAACAACCATGTGTGTATAGAGCCAGTACTGATAATTGATTTTAAAATAATCTTACACCACTAGGCGAGAAAGTAACTTCATTGTCTTTACATAAGCATTTCACAAAAAAATGCTTATGTGCATTCATGGTTTTTTTTTTCCGTTTTTCATTTCAGATGTCCAGATGGTTGACATAATTGAAAAAAGCCAGGAAATTCATCATAGACATATGTGGCAAGTGGCAATCACCAACAACAAAACATCAACTGAAGAAACAGTTGAATTAGGAAAAATACTTAATTTGAGCTCAAACCATATTCCAAGTGTGATGGTAAATAATGCAAGCTATTCAGAAATGAGGCCTGAGGAGTTAAATATAAGTCAGAAAATATTTCTCTCTATTGAGCCTCATGAAATGCAGGCAGTCAGAAAATATTTCTCTCTGTTGAGCCTCATGAAATGCAGGCAGAAGGAAAACCTCATGATCGAAGTATAACTGGGAAATCTCTCACACATGGTGAGTATCTTAGTCACAATAACAAGGTTCATATGAGGCAGCAGCTTTTTGAATATAGTGGACAAGGAAAAGCCTTCAGCACTGAGGCAGAGAAGAGTCATAGGGGAGAGATGGCATGTACATATAATGAATATGAGAAATCCTATGAGTCAGCACTCACTTCCCAGTAGATAACTGCTGAATATAATGTATGTGGGAAAATGTTTCGTAAAAAGTCTAAGCTTACCAAACATCAGAAAATACTCACAGGAGAGAAACCCTATAAATGTATACAATGTGAGAAACCATTCATTAAGAAATCATATCTTGCAAATCATCAGAGAACATATATGTGGAAGAAACCCTTTACATATACCAAATGTGAGAAATCCTTCTGTCAGAAGTCAAACCTAATTGTTCATCAGAGAATCCACACAGGGGAAAAACCCTATGAATGTCATGAATGTGGAGAAACCCTCTGCCAAATGTCAGCCATTATTTATCACAGAATACACACAGGAGAGAAACCGTATGAATGTATCGATTGTGGGAAAACCTTCTACCAGAGGTCAGCCCTTAATGTACATCAGAGAATTCACACAGGAGAGAAACCTTATGAATGTAATGAATGTGGGGAAACCTTTTATCAGAAGTCAGTCCTCACAAAATCAGAGAATTCACACAGGTGAAAAACCATATGAATGTAAAGAATGTAGGAAAACTTTCCCTCGGAAGTCAAAACTTACTGTACATCAGAGAACTCACACGGGGAAAAACCCTATGAATGTAATGAATGTGGAAAAACATTCTGCCTGAATTCAGTTCTTATTATACATCAGCGAACTCACACAGGTGAGAAACCATATGAATGTAATAAATGTGGAAAAACCTTTAGCCAGAAGTCACACCTCAGGGTGCATCAGGGTATTCACACAGGGGAAAAACCCTATGAGTGTAATGAATGTGGGAAAACCTACCAGAAGGCAGTTCTTACTAAACATCAGAGGACTCACACAGGGGAAAAGCCCTATGAGTGCAATGAATGTGGGAAAACTTTTAGCCAGAAGTCAAACCTCAGGATGCATCAGGGTATTCACACAGGGGAAAAACCCTATGAGTGTAATGAATGTGGGAAAACCTACCAGAAGGCAGTTCTTACTAAACATCAGAGGACTCACACAGGGGAAAAGCCCTATGAGTGTAATGAATGTGGGAAAACTTTTAGCCAGAAGTCAAACCTCAGGATGCGTCAGAGTACTCACACAGGGGAGAAACCCTACAAATGTAATGAATGTGGAAAATCCTTCTACCAGAAGTCAGTGCTCACTACACATCAGAGAACTCACATAGGGGAAAAACCCTATGAGTGTAATGAATGTGGAAAAACCTTTCATCAGAGGGCAAACTACAGCAGGCATCAGAAAACACACACAGGCGAGAAACCTTATAAATGTAATGGATGTAGGGAAACCTTTTTCCAGAAATCAGCCCTCACCATACATGAAAGAATTCACACAGGGAAGAAATCCCATGAATGTAATGAATGTGGGAAGTCATTCTGCCAGAAATCATCCCTTACTATACATGGAAGAATTCACACAGGGGAGAAACCATATGAATGTAAAGAATGTGGGAAAAGCTTTTGTCAAAAGTCAACCCTCAGTAGACATCAGAGAACTCACACAGGCGAGAAACCATATGAATGTAAAGAATGTAGGAAAGCTTTCTACCAGAAGTAGCTCTTGCTGTACATCGTAGAACTCACACAGGTGAAAAGATCTATTAACATGCTGAAGGCGTGAAAAGCCTTATTAGCAAATCATATCCTACAGCATATCAGTGGATACGTACAGGAGATAAACCCTGCTCATGTAACCAGTGTGAGAAATCCTTCAGGTACAAGTCAAGCCTTACTATCCATCAGCGAGGTCACACAGGGAAAGCCCTATGGCTGTAATGAATATTGGAAACACCTTTTAGCAGAAGCCAAACCTTAGGAGGCATCAATAAATTCATACTTGAGAGAAAGCCTAAGAGTATAATGAATGTGCAAAAACCTTTTGTCTAAAGTAACACCTTAGCAGGTACTAGGGAATTCACATAGGAGAGAAGTCCTGTGCGTCAGAGACTGGCTATATATTCTACAAATTTCACCCTTTTTTTCTCTTGGACACATGGACTGCATTCCTCAGCCCCATGTTATGTGACTGGGATGCACAACTGACCTCTGCAGTAGACTCTACACAAGTTAGGGTTAGGGTCAAATATTCCTCCCTGACATTGAAAAAAGAAACATTTTATTTTCTTCAGACTTTGAAGCAGGACTTTTATGTATGCTTTTGGAGGAAGTCACCATGCAGAGTCCATACTTGAGGAGTGGTGAGTTAGCTCCACCTCCTTGATGGCTGAGTGTCTATGTCAGGTATTTGGAATTCTTCTGTATAAGAGATTTCTATTCAGGCCATTTATGTATCAATTTAATCATAAATAGATACCAGTATGGATGCTCAGTTACTTTAATGTTTTGGTTGTTATCCAATTCTGCATTATTTTGTTGCTCTTTGCTTATACCCTGTGGCCATTGGGAGCTCTTTCCACTGGCTCCTTTGACATAATTTCGTATATTTATTTATTTATTTACAATTTCTTTCTGTTACTTCAAAAGTACCCTGGGTCATATATTTTCTGTCGCAGTCCTAGTTTCAACCAGTTTTTCAAAGACCCCTGATTTCCTTTGTTTGAGAATGGCCTTAAAAACTTATACCTGGCCACTAAATGTGGTTATTGCATCATGACCCTCACAGCTGACAGTACAAACAAATATATGTGTGTGTTCTAACTTATATGTACCCACTTAATTATACAGGTTTCTACATGGAACCATTTGTGTATATATATTAAGTTAAATGTGAGTTTATATCTACATTTTATATATGTATTCTGATCCATTATCACAGAGATCATTCCAGGTTTCCCACATTTCTTATCCATAACTTCTCACTCTAACAGTAAGGAACCTGGCTGTCACTATCTGCCATTTATTTCATCCCTTGTTCCATTGGGAACAAGGAATTCATTCTTGATCCAGATTCCAGGTTGGGATTTAATGGGAAATTCTCCAGTTCATAGTACAGAGCTCCTAAAACTTTTATAATTTCCTGAACAATAGGGGTGCTAGTAACATCTTGTGTTCTAACATTTGGTCTTTGGCCCTGGTTCCTGACATGGAGTTCCTAAATTCCTTGGAATCTCCTGAGTGATAGGAATGGCTTCTGTAAGGACCCTCTGTGGGTTCCTGGATGGTTTCAGGATGGGGGATGGTCACCAGAAAGACCAAGCCATGATAAGAAGCTTGTAACTTTTAGCTTCACATGCAATCCTTTGAGGGTGTGAAGGGACTAGAGATTGAATTAATAGTTGATCATGTCTACATGATGAAGCCTTCATAAAAATTCCTAAAATATGAAATCTGGAAAGTTCCAGATCAACTCTGTCAGATTTGATGTCTAGTGAGGGCTCATCTTTCATAGATAGTGCCTTCTAGCCATGTCCTGACATGGCAGAATTGGGGGGGAAAAGGCTCCTAGATTATTTTATAAGGGTGCTGGTTTCATTCATGAGGGCAGCACCTTCATGATCCAATCACTCCTCAGTTACCTCTGAATACCATCATCCCTTTGGGGATTATGTTTCAACATAGGAGTTTGGAGGGTATACACACATTGAGACCATAGTAACTAGTAAACATAAGTAAGTGTTTCCCTGAGTTCCATAAGCCATTATAGCAAATTACCAAACCTGAGGAGGGAGTGTAGGAGTGCATAGTTTCTAGCCAAGTCATAGAAGTTTGGGTAAACTGAGGATTCACTACTTTTGATTGGCACCTGAGGTTGGGGACAGTCTGGTGTTACTAAGCCCTTAACCTGTAGGGTCTGTACAAACTTCAGTAATTAATGTTATAATTGAATTGTAGGACACTCAGTTGTTGTCCAGAGAGTTGGAAAATTGGTTGGTGTGGGAAACATCACCCACCCCAATTTGCTGTCACAAGTGAAGTGTTGAGAGTATAGGGGGAAATCATGGTTATTTTTCTTTTTACAGATACAATGGTTTCAAAATTAACTATTATCCCTATGGGTAATAACTTTATAAAATAGATTCCACTGTTTATGTATAGTACATTTTGCTTTTAGTCTGTGAATTCTACTCATTTCCAAAATGACTTAGGTCAGTCAGTACCATTGGCCCACCATTTGCAACATACGTTGGTAATACAATTAGATTCTTAGTTGCACTCTGTATTTTGTCCTTAGATACGTCCATAACCTAAATAATTTAATTTGTGTAATTCGTTCTTTGTGCTTTAAAATTTTGTGGCTTTAAGTATATACATAGTGTTGGATATCCACCACTAAAGTACCAGAATACTTCAAATCCCCACCCCAGTCACTCATCTGATTATCATCTTTGTAGTAATGGAGTCATATAATGTATAGCATCCTCAAGCTGCCACCCTTCACTTGGCAACATACATGCAAGATTCATTCATTTATTTTCATGGGTTGAAAGTTCATTCCTTTCTGTTGCTGAATGGTATTCCATTGCATTGTTGTACTTCAAGTTGATTATGCTAGTTTTTGTTTGAAAATAATTTTTCAAACATCTGTCTAAACCTATACATTTTAGGGGTGCATTTGTTTGATTTTAGGTAAGACTTGTTTATCTTTGGGAAAAACTGCCAAACTATCTCCCAAAGTGGCTGTACAATTAATGCATTCTCCTAACAGTGAATGACAGTACCTGTTGTTCTTCAACCTCCAATTGTTATTGTTGAGCTTTTCTTAGAGTCTCGCAGTTCTACTAGGTGTGCAGTGGTATCTCAGCATTATTTTAATTTGCAGTCTCCTAATGGGATGTGATGTTGAACATCCTTTTGTATAATTATTTGCTATCTGTATATTTTCGGTGTTTTTTTTTAAGACAGTGTCTCGCTCTGTCATTCTGGCTGAAGTGCAATGGAGTGATCTTGGCTCACTGCAAACTCCACCTCCTGTGTTCAGGCAATTCTTTTGCCTCAGCCTCCCAAGTAGCTGATGCCCCCCACCATGCCTGGCTAACCTCCAGATTTGGAGTTATTTTTCAGGATCGGTTTGGCTTTTCAGGATTCCTTGAAATTCCATATAAATATTAGGATCAGCTTTCCCGTTTCTTTCCCAAGGCTTTTGTGATTTTTGTAGGAATAATGTTGAATCTGTAGATTGCTTTGTGTAGTTTGGAAAAGTTAATGAATGTCATCTTCAAATCCATGAACATAACATGTTTTTACATTTATTTGGGCTTTAATTTCTTTAAGCAATGTCTTATAATTTCCCCCTTTTAAGTCTTACCCTTTGATTACATTTGTTCCTAAGCATATTCTTGCCATTGGTATTATTTAAAGTGAAATTTTTATAATTTTATTTTCAGATTATTCATTGATAGTGTATATGTATAAAATGGATTTTTTGGCCAGGGACAGTGGCTCACACCTGTAATGCCAGCACTTTTAGAGGCCAAGGCAGACAGATCACCTGAGGTCAGGAGCTGGAGACTAGCCTGGCCAACATGGCGAAAACTTGTCTCTACTAAAAATACAAATTTAGCTGGGTATGGTGGCATATGACCGTAATTCCAGCTTTATTGAAAGCCCTTTCTGTAACAGCTGAGAAAATTATGGGGTGTTTTCCATTCATTCTAACAACACTATGTTACATGAATGGTATTAGGGTGTGGAACCGCTGTTGATTTACTGGGATAAAAAATCATGTTCATGGGGTCTGATCCTTTCAAAATGCTGTCAGTTTTAATATGCTGTTATTTTGTTGAAGATGATTAAGCCTATATTTCTGAGGTTCTAGATCAGTCCTTGAAGTAGCATAGCACTGAGTAGGATAGATCAGGATGAGATTGTGTGTAGACTGCAGTTCGTATTTACAGAGTTAATTTGTCAGGATATTACAAAATCAAGGGATATGGGCTGACAGGGTTCAGAGTTTACCAATTGAAGATGATGGCATGAGGGCTTCAAATAGGAGATTCAGGTTGGTGGTTGGGAGCTGCATAGTAAGACATTAGAGAGAGATCAGGTGAGTAACCAGGGTTAGATTGAGAGGTCAGGATTACGGTGAAGAGTTAGGGTGAAAGGGTAGTGAGGTTTAGGATTAGGGTTACAGTAAAGGTGTGAGTAGGTTTAGATTAAGGTTAGAATTATAGTGGGTAGAAGTAAAGTTAGAAATTATGGTTGAGGGTTACCATAAGGTTAGCTTTAGAGATAAGGGTAATCAGAGTAGGGTGCTTGAGGTTAGGGGTTAGGGTCGGGGTTAGGGTTAGGGGTTAAGGAACATCACTTATTTTTATTTGTTTTGGTTTCTCTCAACTGTGCTTCATGGTTTTCTGAATGCATATTTGCATACATTTTGTTACATTCATACTTAAGGGATTCAACCTTGGGGTGCTATTGTAAATGGCATTTTAATGTTTCCAGTTCTAATTATTTCCATTCATTGTTGCTGATGTGAAGAAACGCAACTGACTTTTGCCTACTGGACATCTTTTTTAGTTTTTTAAATCTCTGTTCTGGCCAGGCATGGTGGTTCACACCTGTAATTCCAGCACCTTGTGGGGCTGAGGTGGGTGGATCACCTGAGATCAGGAGTTTTGAGACCAGCCTGGCCAACATGGTGAAACCCCATCTCTACGAAAAATACAAAAATTAGCAGGAAATGGTTGCATGTGCCTGTAATCCCAGCTACTAGGGGGCTGAGGCAGAAGGATCACTTAAACCTGGGAGGTGGAGACTGCAGTGAGCTGAGATCATGCCACTGCACTCCAGCCTGGGCAACAGAGCAAGATTCTCTTTAAAAACAAAAAAAAACCCTCCATCTGTTCTGTGAAGGCATGGAATGGTGGGCTCGATTTCAGTTGAAATTTTGAAAATCACAGCCTGAGATAATCTGAACACTGATTTTGCGAGATTCCCCAGGGCTTCTGCCAGGGGATGCCAGCTCCTGCCGAACCAGGAATGTGAACAGGAACCACAGTGGATTCCTCACTTGTGCCCTGGGGCTTCAACCCTGAGGAAGGAGCTTCCTTTTCCTCAGGACCTGCCACCCGGGAGAGGCCGTGGCTCAGGACAGTCTGTCACCAGGTGAGGGAAGGAGGAAAATGCTTCCTGTCAGCAGCCACAAGTGCTGAGGAGGGAGCACTGCCATGGGCCTTACTTCCCTGTCAAGGTCTATGCAGCCTATTGTGAAATGGTGTCTCTTCTGCCTGACATTGACAGCGTGTCATGACAGTTGAGTGCAGCTTGTCTTACGGATCCGGGCTTGTTTCTGAAGAGAGATCGTGGTGCTGAGCTGAGAAAGGAGTGACACTGAGCAGTGCCATCAGGATGGGTGGGGTGGTGGTGGCTGGGGACCGACAGGTGCTGCGGGGTCACAAACACTTTCACTCGTGTTTTAATAGCTCATTTGTCTCACAGCGTTTGAGTAGTTGAAACATTATGGATATATTTAACAGTAGGCCACATGATAACCATAAAGGTTAAGTTTAAATATATTGTATATACCTCTCCACACAAAATAACATATACCGAATACTAATATATAAATATGTAAAGATTGTGAGCTGAACAAAGTGCAGATTGAGCTTGAGAATCTCGGGAGGGGACATGATGTCTTCGATCCTTTGCTGTAGCTGCCAGAGTATAGGAGATGCAGGAGCAGTTCTTACTTTTGATTGAAGGCTGCGTAACTGAGGATCTGGGCAGGAGCAGTTCTTTTGTTGTTTGAGGGTCATACAGCTGTGGACCTGGGCAGGAGCAGTTCTTTTGTTGTTTGAGGGTCACACAGCTGTGGACCTGGGCAGGAGCAGTTCTTTTGTTGTTTGAGGATACACAGCTGTGGACCTGGGCAGGAGAAGTTCTCTTGTTTGAGGGTCAAACAGCTGTGGACCTGGGCAGGAGCAGTTCTTTAATTTGAGGGTCACACAGCTGTGGACCTGGGCAGGAGCAGTTCTTTTGTTGTTTGAGGGTCACACAGCTGTGGACCAGGGCAGGAGCAATTCTTTTGTTGTTTGAGGATACACAGCTGTGGATCTGGGCAGGAGCAGTTCTTTAATTTGAGGGTCACACAGCTGTGGACCTGGGCAGGAGCAGTTCTTTTGTTGTTTGAGGGTCACACAGCTGTGGACCTGGGCAGGAGCAGTTCTTTTGTTATTTTAGGATCACACAGCTGTGGACCTGGACAGGAGCAGTTCTTTAGTTTGAGGGTCACACAGCTGTGGACGTGGGCAGGAGCAGGTCTTTAGTTTGAGGGTCACACAGTTGTGGACCTGGGCAAGAGCAGGTCTTTAGTATGAGGGTCACACAGCTGTGGACCGGGGCAGGAGCAGTTCTTTTGTTGTTTGAGGGTCACACAGCTGTGGACCTGGGCAGGAGCAGTTCTTTTGTTTGAGGGTCACACAGCTGTGGACCTGGGCAGGAGCAGTTGTTTTGTTGTTTGAGGGTCACACTGCTGTGGACCTGGGCAGGAGCAGTTCTTTTGTTGTTTGAGGGTCACACAACTGTGGACCTGGGCAGGAGCAGTTATTTTGTTGTTTTAGGGTCACACAGCTGTGGACCTGGACAGGAGCATTTCTTTAGTTTGAAGGTCACACAGCTGTTGACCTGGGCAGGAGCAGTTCTTTAGTTTGAGGGTCACACGGCTGTGGACCTGGGCAGGAGCAGGTCTTTAGTTTGAGGGTCACACAGCTTTGGAACTGGGCAGGAGCAGTTCTTTAGTTTGAGGGTCACACAGCTGTGGACCTGGGCAGGAGCAGTTCTTTTGTTGTTTGAGGGTCACACAGCTGTGGACCTGGGCTGGAGCAGTTCTTTTGTTGTTTGAGGGTCACACAGCTGGGGACCTGGGTAGGAGTAGTTCTTTTGTTGTTTGAGGGTCACACAGCTGTGGACCTGGGCAGGAGCAGTTCTTTAGTTTGAGGGTCACACAGCTGGGGACCTGGGTAGGAGTAGTTCTTTTGTTGTTTGAGGGTCACACAGCTGTGGACCTGGGCAGGAGCAGTTCTTTTATTGTTTTAGGGTTACACAGCTGTGGAATTGGGCAGGAGCAGTTCTTTAGTTTGAGGGTCACATAGCTGTGGACCTGGGCAGGAGCAGTTCTTTAGTTTGAGGGTCACACAGCTGTGGACCTGGGCAGGAACAGTTGTTTAGTTTGAGGGTCACAGAGCTGTGGACCTGGGTAAGAGCAGTTCTTTTGTTGTTTGAGGGTCACACAGCTGTGGACCTCGGCAGGAGCAGTTCTTTTGTTGTTTTAGGGTCACAGAGCTGTGGACCTGCACAGGAGGATTTCTTTAGTTTGAGGGTCACACAGCTGTTGACCTAAGCAGGAGCAGTTCTTTAGTTTGAGGGTCACACAGCTGTGGACCTGGGCTGGAGTAGTTCTTTAGTTTGAGAGTCACACAGCTGTGGACCTGGGCAGGAGCAGGTCTTTAGTTTGAGGGACACACAGTTGTGGACCTGGGCAGGAGCAGGTCTTTAGTATGAGGGTCACACAGCTGTGGACCTGGGCAGGAGCAGTTTTTTAGTATGAGGGTCACACAGCTGTGGACCTGGGCAGGAGCAGTTCTTTTGTTGTTTGAGGGTCACACAGCTGTGGACCTGGGCAGGAGCAGTTCTTTTGTTGTTTGAGGGTCACACAACTGTGGACCTGGGCAGGAGCAGTTATTTTGTTGTTTTAGGGTCACACAGCTGTGGACCTGGACAGGAGCATTTCTTTAGTTTGAAGGTCACACAGCTGTTGACCTGGGCAGGAGCAGTTCTTTAGTTTGAGGGTCACACGGCTGTGGACCTGGGCAGGAGCAGTTCTTTAGTTTGAGGGTCACACAGCTGTGGAACTGGGCAGGAGCAGTTCTTTAGTTTGAGGGTCACACAGCTGTGGACCTGGGCAGGAGCAGTTCTTTAGTTGTTTGAGGGTCACACAGCTGTGGACCTGGGCTGGAGCAGTTCTTTTGTTGTTTGAGGGTCACACAGCTGGGGACCTGGGTAGGAGTAGTTCTTTTGTTGTTTGAGGGTCACACAGCTGTGGACCTGGGCAGGAGCAGTTCTTTTGTTGTTTGAGGGTCACACAGCTGTGGACCTGGGTAGGAGTAGTTCTTTTGTTGTTTGAGGGTCACACAGCTGTGGACCTGGGCAGGAGCAGTTCTTTTATTGTTTTAGGGTTACACAGCTGTGGAATTGGGCAGGAGCAGTTCTTTAGTTTGAGGGTCACATAGCTGTGGACCTGGGCAGGAGCAGTTCTTTAGTTTGAGGGTCACATAGCTGTGGACCTGGGCAGGAACAGTTGTTTAGTTTGAGGGTCACAGAGCTGTGGACCTGGGTAACAGCAGTTCTTTTGTTGTTTGAGGGTCACACAGCTGTGGACCTCGGCAGGAGCAGTTCTTTTGTTGTTTTAGGGTCACAGAGCTGTGGACCTGCACAGGAGGATTTCTTTAGTTTGAGGGTCACACAGCTGTTGACCTAAGCAGGAGCAGTTCTTTAGTTTGAGGGTCACACAGCTGTGGACCTGGGCTGGAGTAGTTCTTTAGTTTGAGAGTCACACAGCTGTGGACCTGGGCAGGAGCAGGTCTTTAGTTTGAGGGACACACAGTTGTGGACCTGGGCAGGAGCAGGTCTTTAGTATGAGGGTCACACAGCTGTGGACCTGGGCAGGAGCAGTTTTTTAGTATGAGGGTCACACAGCTGTGGACCTGGGCAGGAGCAGTTCTTTTGTTGTTTGAGGGTCACACAGCTGTGGACCTGGGCAGGAGCTGTTCTTTAGTTTGAGGGTCACACAGCTGTGGACCTGGGCAGGAGCAGTTCTTTTGTTGTT